CGTACGGTGTCGAATAATTTGGTGTCGAATAAATCTGTGTCGAATCGAGCGGTGTCGAATCGTACTGTGGTCAATAGAGTATCACCCGGATTATGATTGTTCACATTCACTGTAAGATTCAGTATTTGCACCAACGCCCAGCCGCTGTCGCGTTCCTGGAACTCTTCTAGAGCGGTCATTGTTGCATCTATTACGTCTCGATCATATCACACGCGCAGATTCGACGCGTGATAGAGTTTACGATTGCGCGTATTGAACGATTGCACACTCGTCTTTTCACCCGTGACAACTTTTCCGTTGAACACTGTGTTCACTTTCACACTAGCGTGCCGCGCGATTGCTCGACAAACGCGCGCGAGCACCGTGTCTCTAGCGGCTTTGAGAAATCAACGGGGTTCGATAAACGACTTGTTCATCACGATGCCGGTCACCAAACGATTTGTAAGCGCTGTCTCGACTTCGATCCATGCGAGTCCAGCACTCTCGACACCCGCATCCACATGCGCGCATTGTTCGCGAAGGACCGCGCGCAGATTTTCGAGTCGCGAAATTTGAGCGATGTGCCAATTTATCACACCTGTGTATAGTCGCGGGCGTTTTCTTCGGCACTCTTCTCTCAGCGTCTCTAGACGATCGTCGCACCGTTCCTCCCACGAGATATAACCATTCAACGTGTTGAGAAGCGCGGTCTCTTTTTCAAGCGGTTCGCGATTGTTTATGTTTACAATTTCCGTTGTCTGATCCGATGCATTGTTGATTTTGCATCTTGGCTTTTGCAATACACGCGCGACAATATCTTTTCAATGGGGCTGGTCCATCAATGTGATCGTAGTCTTCCGGTTGATTGTAATGCTCGAGACATCTGCGATACAGCTGCACCTCGGGATCTTTCTTCAAATGCTCAGACAATCGGTCCCACAAAAGCTCCACATAATTATTGAACACTTCTAGAAGAATCCTCTTTGGAACGTTTTTCAACTCTTTGACCGACAGGTGTAAAATGCATGTCGTGTCCACTGCGTTAAACATTTCAACAACAACAACGACGACTTGTTATCTATACGGCTTGCAATCTCTACGACTTGCGATCTCGATTACTCGCGATCAAAATAACTTGTGACTCGCTCTCAAACTCGAGGTGCCTTTTTATTTCGCTCTTTATCTTTCTTCGAAATCTTTAGATTTGAAATTGCAATTTAAAAAAACCACATCCGGTAGGTAACAATTTTTTACGCGCGCACCGGAAGTACGTAGAAAAATTACATCCGGTATGAAACGGTTTTTTGTACAAATGTTATCGCAGGAAATGACTCATCAAACCGGAAGTGACTGATCGCTTCGGCGATAAGAAAAAACGCACTTCCAAGAAAGTTTGGTTTTTCTCGGAATTAATTAATTATTATCTTACTGCGCAGTTACAAACTGCGCGCTATTTATTTTTAAACGCGCACCGCTTTTGGGAAATTGCGGTTTTTCTCGGAATTAATTATTTTACTGCGCAATTTAAATATCTAATTGAGAGGTAATATTATTTTAGCGATAACGGCATCATCCAAACGACCTTGAACACGTTCGGACCTGTTCGAGTTCTATTTTTAGCGATGACGTCATCGTCCGCAACAACCTTGAACACGTTCAAACATGCCCACACGCGTCCGCGCCCGCTCCAAACGACCTTGAACATATACGACAAGTTCAAACACGTTACGACCGATGACGTCAACGATAATGCTCACTTACCTGAAAAAAATAAAACACGTCGAATAATGCATGCTCCATTTTTACGGTTCGTCGCTAATTGGCTACTTCCGATAAAGCTGATACCAACGTTCCGCCGACGTTACCCACACTCCTACGTTATCTCATCCGCAACGCCCAGGTCCTCCGATTCTGCTTTCAATATTATGAATATGGTTCCAATGACCCCTCCCTCGCGCGGTGCCCCATCTTTCCCCACTTGCCCTCGGTTTCAAGTACCGTTAGTTAAACAAGAACAGACTTTGTCTCTCTTATGGAAAAATCGCTTTTTCTTCTGGAAAAGTGGTCCAGAATCCGCTTACAAGGGAACTTCGCGAACCCGAAAATTCTGATTTTGATAAAACTTTGCACACATGTAAGGGAGGCCAATAAATGAGTATTGACATTTTCCGTTGCTGCTAAAAACCGGTTTTAAAGAATGGAATTACCCCTCATGTGTAGAGCGGCTTTTCATTTTTCTCAATTTCTCTCGAAAATGATTAGAGATATTAAAAAATGGTTTATACAAAACTTTTATAGAAAAAAGTCCTCTATTTATTTATGTTAATAGAATTAAAAACAAATAGGTTTAAAAAAATACTTGTGTAACAAAAATATAAAAACATTTTTTTAACAATTCTATTAATGTAGGTAAATAGAGGTGTTTTTCCTATAAAACTTTCATATAAAACATTTTTTGATATCTTTACTAGTTTTCGAGATACATCGAGAAAAAAACGCAAAACCGTGTTATACATGATAAGTGTTTCACTCTTTAGAATCGGTTTGAGGCCGCCACTGAAAATTTCTACATTTATGTAGTTATTTATACATGTGTACAAAATTTTATCGTAAGAACACCTCTATGTAATCGCACATTAATACATTTTTGAAATAAGTTGTTTTTAAAATTTAATTTTAGCATCTTTTCTATAAGGAACTATTTTTTATTATATATTACGATAAAGATAGTAATTTTTCAAATAAAGATGCTTTTATTCTTTGAATATTTCAAGTCATGTTGCAGTGCAACGTGACTTGAGAGATCGTTGAGCATATTCATATTGCAGTCTTTATATTGCATATNAGTGCAACGTGACTTGAGAGATCGTTGAGCATATTCATATTGCAGTCTTTATATTGCATATTGTATATGTAATGTATCACGCACATATCACTCACTTCCGTAAACACAGTGCGGAGTAGTCATGTACGTTATTTGTGAGAATAGTTTGCAATAATTTTCTATAATCAAAAGATTTTGACAAAAGGAAAATTTAAATAATTTTAACACACGAATTGAATGCCATATCTGAATTTTACTTTTCTGGCCTTATTNACTAACACATAAAATTTCAATATAACATCTCGAAAATTTATTTTACGGTCTATTATTTTTTTTTGATAACAGTAAACGATTTCCATATACATTTAGTTCATAATCGCCAGCATATCACTTGGCTACGCTAATCAGCCACAGTATGATACGCTGACGTTTGTGTTGCACTCGACACTACATAATAAATAATGTAAATAAGATGATAAGACTCCGTATAAATAGGAAGTTTTTTGCTACGTAGGTTTAGTATCGAGATAACAAATTAGAATAATAACTAATATAAAGATAACAAGGATAACAAATTATACCAAAGCAAAATGGTACATGTGAATCCTGCGAATGTTATTAATATGTTAATTGTTTTATTCCAAATTTCAAATATTCCACAAACATCTGTAAATAATAAAGAAATTGAATTACATGATACTATAATGGACATTATACAAAATGCAATGGATGACTTATCATTTGATATGGAGACCGACACTATATTAAAATTCGAGAAGTATTAGGATGCAAATATATGTGATGCACTATTTGTTGGAGCAGACGAAGTAGAAGAACTTGAAGAAAGTGATGAAAATGAGGAAGAAGATACTTGTACACCAAAAGGAGAAATTGTAAATAATGACTAACTATAAAAGAAGAGCTGTTGAGTTCTGGAAAAGTGGAAAAAAGGAATATTACACTTTATCAACAGTACAAAATCGTTTTAGAAAGGTAATGTCTATGTCGCAGCTATATAGATGGGATCATTCTCTACAAAAAGGTGGTACTCATAGACAAAAACTACTAGATATTTCTACATATGTCTTGGAAAAGTTCAAAAACGCTAACGACAACAACAAAATTATTCATGATCTAGATCTACGACGTTGGGCGTTAGAAGCAAAAGAACAAATTAATCTTCCTCAATTTAAAGTAGGAGCAATGTGGGTATTAAATTTTAAAAGAAAACACGGGATTGTGTCAAGAAAAATAACAAAATTTATAAACCGTTCATCAAAGACACATCAGAATCAATTACAACTTGCATGCCAAGAATTCATAAGTTCTGTGAAATCATTTATAAATCTGTTTGAAACAAAATATATATAATGCAGACGAAAGTGGGTTCAATTTGGAAATACATTCAGGCAGAACATTGACAATACAAGGTGTTAAAACAGTTGAAACCATAGTTCAATCACAATCAGCAATTACACACAGCTATACAATTATGCCTACAATTTCTGCAAGCGGGCAACTACAATCACTTTTTTATTTGGTATTGAAAGAAGCCAGTGGAAGTTTTGGGCCACGTGTAGAAGAGACTTTATTTAGACCTTCAAATATTTTTATTGCAGCATCAAAATCAGGAAAATTAACTACACAACACTTTCAATCTTGGTTTACAAATGTATTTTTACCCGCAACTGGAAGCTTTAGTGTGTTATTAATAGATTCTTGGAGCGGACATTGTCCCGAAAGCTTACAAGAATTTATACCATCTAAAGATAAAGATATACGAATTTTAACAATACCAAAAAAAACTACAGGAATGATTCAACCTCTTGATGTTTATGAATTTAGACTATGGAAAAACTTTGTGAGAACATTCAGTGATCGCGTTATATTATTAAATTATGATATCAATTT